TTTTAAAGTCATTATCCAGGAAATGTTCTTAGAAGAAAAGATAAGTTGGAAACTTTACAGGTAGAATTCTCACAGTTGTTTGGAATTGCTTAACCACTGGTTCTTACCTGGACAGTAACACAATGGTATAAAAATACAGCAACGAGCCTTACCTTTTGGGATAAAAGGGATGCTGACTTTGGGCTACATTTTGGTGAAGTAACATTTCCCTCAAAATCTTGGCTCTTTCTAGTAGATTCCTTCAGCAGAAAAGATGACAAAAATTCCAGGGGTTCATCCTGAAAAGTCATCCCAGAAAAAATTTTTTTAAACATTTGTCTGTATTAGGTCATCAGATGCAGGAGGTTTTGTTTCTTTTGTTTTAGAGTTTTGGCTTTTACCTTCTACTGAATACCTATTCCAAGAACAAGTGGCTATTATTGTATTAGAGGTATAATACATAAAACTGCTATTGAGTCAGTTCTGATTCACAGGAGAGGAAGACCCCAGATGAGATGGATAGTCATAATAACTGTGGTAATGGTGATAGGTGTGCCAGAGTCAGTGAGACTGGTTTAGGACAGGGCAGGCTTCAGAAATATTGTACATATGGCTACTGTGAGTTTCAGGCAACTCAATGGCACATAACAATAACAACAACAGCCTTGTCTCTGTGAACATCCTTGATGATTTTATCAACCAAGGTCTCAGGGCCATAACTCAGTTCTCTGTCCCAGAAGACAATCCTCAGCAAAGGAGGGCAACTTCTAAGCCTCCCCTCACTAAAGTTCCCCCTAAGAGATATGCATGATTACGAGGGAAACTGAGGCAAATGCAAGACAGATAAGCAAAGAGACAACGTGTACTCAGACTCCAAAACTGAAGACTACTTTCATGGTGTTGATTCCAACTCACAGCAGCCCCACAAAAAAAAAAGAAGATTGTCCCAAAGGGTGTCCAATGCTATACATATTCACAAAGACAGAGTGCTGTGTCTGTCATTCTCCCAAGACACAAAGGACAGGTTCAAAATGACCTGGTTAGCAGCTAAAGTCTTACTTTAACCACTGTATCACCAGGGTTCCATGCACTCCTAGAGATATGTTACACTCATTCACAGAGTAGAATTATAGCACTAGAAGGAAAGAATTGGGAATCTTTCCACTGGAAAGCGAGAACCTTTTGGAATAGCCTGTATGTTAACATTATCCTTATTTTTCCTTTATTCCCATCTTTGCAAGAATCTTACGTACAAATCTCTCTCTTCTTGTGGCTTCTTGTGATTTGCAGATGAACTTTTTTTGGGAAGGACATAAAAGATTTGTTTCTGATGTCCAAGCTTCTCCTGTGACCATCCACATCCCAATCTTGGTTTTCTTTTTTCTGTTCTTTCTCATATAAGTCCTTTTGTTTATCATCTTTATAGATCTAGTATCAAATTTTTCTGTGTCTGCCTCATGTTTTTATCTCTTGAGTGATGGTTATGTGAAACTAAGAGTCATAAGAGTCATGCATACATTTTTAAAAAATAAGTTACTTCTAACAAGATAAAGAACTTTCCACCATGCAATTAACTTTAAATTATTAAAAGATATTCCTATTTGCCTATTTTAAATAGAAGATCAAAGACTATACT